ATGATTCTTTCTGCTCAAATGGGTTTCCTTATCTTCTCTTATTTGCTGTTTTTAGTGATTGAGCTAGTGGAGGAGGATGTGTTGCAAATGTTCTTGAAAGACAGAGAAGAAAATGGAGATTTCATTTCTAGAATTTCTGATAGGCTTTGGCTGAGAGAGATTCTTGATTCTATTGATGTTAGTTCTAATGGATCCTCTTCAACTCTTGGACTAGATAATCAGGTAAACTAATTGTTTGTTGGAGATCTTCTAATTTAATGCTTTGGATTGATTTCTTTTTGTTATGTATGTAGGAGAGCTCGATTGATGGTGGATATGATGATGAAAGTGGGTTCTTGAAACTTATACCGACTCAAGAATGGATTGATGGGGAAAGTGATTCTGCACCCATGAATAAGAAAGCTCTAGCTAAGGTGTTTCATCTCTTGTTTCAATGTTGCTGTTCTCTGTCTTCGTTTTACAGAACCTTGTCATTGCAATAGTCTGCTGCGTTTTATCATGCTTTGGGTTTGGTCATTGCAGGCATTACGGGATGACAGCGAGAGAAGGAAGAAACTCAACTTTCTGAAATATGAAGCTGTATGATTATTCCTTTCAGTATGTTTCTTGATTATTAGTCTATCAGTCAAAATCAGTATGATTTACCAAACCACTTATTTGTGGGAACTTGTTGTTCAGTTTGTGATGCCAGTGGTTAATTTTGATGAGTTAACTCCTAAACTTGGTTTGAATGATTGCTTCTGTGTCTTTTGTAGTTGAAGCGTGAACTGATGTACCTGTCAATTGTTATTGGAACGGGGTGCAGCGGATATTGCTTAGTGGCTTTATCAGCACAGGTACTCTCTCTCATGGGTGGTGACTTTTTCTTTCTTTGTAAGCTTTGATTATATGATGTAGCATCTTTAAAAAGCATATATTACAATGAGGATGATGGAGATACGAAGTTGGTCAGAGGTGATCTGTTCTTAACTCATTCATAGTAAACCACACAACTATCTCTGTCACTGTCACTCTGATAACACTTTCTGACTCAGTTTTTATTACTTTCTTGCAATGCAAAACATTTTTTTCTGCTGCATCCCCTTATTGGGACAATACAATCAAAATCTGTTTATTAATAAAGAGTAGAGAACTGTGCTATGAACAATTGGATAGTGTCTTTACATTTCCAGTTCTAACCAGTCTATACATAACTTGTTTATCTGCACAGGCTGCTGTCAGTTATGCAGTTGGGGTTCTTTTCAGGTTAGTTCTCTATTTTAATGGTAGTTGAAAAGTAGACATTTGATATTGTAATTACAAGTTATGCAACATACTTACTCTTGCATTCGCATAGTCCTAACCAAAATTTCTTCCAATGCAGTTGCTTGTACCTTCAGCTTTTGTATGGATATGCTGATGGTTTTTCACGGGAAGCTGTTCCCGATATCTTCCTGAAAAAAAAGACCAAAAAGTAAAACTGCTAGTCATCAAAAAGCTGTTTTCTGATAAGCCTGGTCATTCTCATGTTGCTCTTAACTTGCTTTTGTATTGTCCGAACTCAGAATCGGGATTAGAAGTGAAGACCTTGAGAATTTTGTTGAGAGGACCATCAGGGGCAGCGGCATGGCTCTCTCTTCCCCACGTTTAGTGATTCCAGCTGCAATTTATGCTTTGTGGATACTCTCTCACAAGTATTTACAAAATGACTTGTTCGACTTTCAGGTAGCTATGCTAAGCTAAATTGCTTATTAAACTTATGCCCCCACCTGAAAACAGGAAAAATATGAATCTTTCGTGTGCGCTATTATAAAAATCTACTTGACACTGAAAAGGAAGCTCCTTTTTTGACATATACTTGTTGGTATTTACCTAAATATAGCGTTTGAGAGGTAAACGCCTAATATACTTATCTAGCTTCCGTCTCCATATCCATACTTTATTTCCTTCTGGATTCTTTCAGCTGTTTTTGCAACTTTTATCTTTGTTACTAGTGTTTCGACAAAGTTTTTATTTTTATTTCTGTTGGTTTCTCCAATAATCAGCTTTATGTTCTCACAACTCACATGTTCTTGACAAGTTTGAACCTTTTTACCTCTACAATGTTGTGCCTTGCAGATAGTTCCAGCCATGGTTGGATTGTTTGTATACAAAGCCGCAGCTCTGGTTCAAGTGTACAGAGACAACCAAGATCTTCAGTTCATCTTCCCAGACGACTAACTACAAAGTTCCCGAACAAAAAAAAACTGATCATCAGCATGAGGGAACCGCAGATTTATGAAATGTTTGGCATTATATTCTCAGAGGGAAACAGAAACTGGACTCATCTGGTAAGAGCTGAGACTGAGGATTAGTGATTTTGTTGAGTTGTACGGACAGATGGACTAAAACGGCGTCATTTGGCTCTTCTCAAATATCAAGCAACCTTGTAATCTCGTTTTTTTTCTCCGACGATGTCATCTTCATTTTCTTTCTTGTAAATTTGTAGTTCCTTAATATATTCATTTTACTTATATCTCAATTTTGATTGATTGTCAGTTTACCAAAAAACAAACGTGAGTGAAACATTGCTCATGTTAGACACTCAAAGCTCATTGACAAAACAACAATACAAACGTAATAAAAAAAACTTTGCACTTCTGTCACAAAGGCCACTCCGATTGCATAGGAGAGATTTTCATTGTTTGGCCTATTTGTAAAAACATTATAAGCAAAAATTTAGGGCAATATGTAAAGTAATAACCCCTTTCAATTGGTATCGTCACCTTTACTTTCTTTCTGCACATCCGATTCTCTTAGGCTTTCTCTTTCTTCAGCTTTCGAGAAATGTGATTCCGCAAATATTTTTTACAACAAAGAGAGTAGAATTCAAGACCGTAAACTCCATCCACGTGCAGCTAATGCACGCCGTACTCTTGAAGCTGCCTCTGCTGTGTCATTCAATGGCGGATAACTCCAACTTTCAGACATCTATAAAACCATTAAAAGCAATTCAGATCAAAAGAAGATCATGAAGACAAGGAGGATATCACAAAACTCTCCACCTGAGAACCCTATACTCTTGAACAGGTTCCTTTACCATTGAGAAGAAAAAGGCGGAAAAAGTAGCAACAATGTTTAAGACAATGTAAAGATACTCACATCTTCAAAACCCGTAAATGAGCGGACAACTCCTCGCTCCCTCAAAGACCTGTGGAAATCTGCAATCTTCCATTTACAGTGATCAGCTCCAACAACATACACCGGTTTCCTGCAGCAGAGAAGGAACACTCAGATTATAGTTGAAGCCAGTGGAAAGAAAGAATGGAATATGTACAATGGTTATCTCAGGCAAATAATATATACCCGGTGCTGCAGGCTTCGCTTATGAGACTGACTGAATCTGCTGTCACTACAAAGGCATCACCCCAAGCTAGATGTCCCATGTAAGGATTTGGTTCTGAATTAGCATTTTAAACAACCGTTAGAAACTTTCATGACTGCATTGTACTTGTGCACAAAGCAGAAGCAAAATCTGCTGTGGATTGTCGGGTACCTTGGCCATTCCAAATGTAGATTTTTGGGTTATCTCCAAGTTCTTTGAAAATTACTCTTGAAACCTGCTTGCATAGTAAAGTTTCAGGTGAAAAACACGAAGGAAAATCAGCTATAGCTCCTTTGGGGTAGGAAAAGAAAAATGTGTCAAGAGACCTTTTCAGGGGTTTTGTACGAGAGAGCAATTCTGACACTTCCACAGCTACCAAGGACACTAAGAAGGGCGTCTGTTAGCTGCTTTGCCAGGTCTGCTCCATACCGACAGTTACCTGTTGAGAAAAACGAGAAAACCATGCGATAAGGTATAAGCTTCAGTATCCAAAATAAACAGGTGCTCATGTGCTATATGCTGGATATGTAAGAATGCTGTCTAGTAGCTTAGAAGAGTAAGAGAACCTACTTCTAGGCCAGCCAATGTTAACCACAAGTAAGGGCTTTGGAAGAGCAGCAAACTCATCATGCCAGGCACTAGCTGATTTACGAAGTGAGGCATAATCGATCTGGTGTAGAGCTCCAGTAGTCAAGACCTGAAAATAGGTGTCCCCATTAATGGTAATTACAAATGAAATCTCCACAGCAAGCTTCAACTACAATCATATACCAGAGAAGCGAACAAAAGTCATGGCACTTACTACATGATCCGTAGGTGGTTCACGTGGGGTTATCCACCCGCGCATAAATCTAGGAACCTGCTCTTGCGCTTCGGGGGTTAGAGGATAGAAGTCGTGACGAGGCGTGATCACCATGTCAAACCTATTTAAGTGTGATCTAGGATGTTGTATCTACAGAAATGAAGACCAATTATTCGAATTTAGAGAATCCAGGAACAAAATTCTCTATTTCTAGAAAATCAAAAGATTCAGTAAAAAAATTCTTCCCTATAGATACTAAATCAAAATTTATCTCGAACTGTATTTCAAAGGTAAGCCTACAGTGTCTTAAGTAAAATAACAAGCAGGTTAAATTTTATATTAAACCTGAACAACGAAGACATTTTCAGAAGCCAAACGCCTTATAGAGCTAGCGATAGAAACTGTATCTCTCCCACACGCAACCACTACCAACGGGCCATCCCTGTGAAAAAGGAAATAAAACCGCTTAGCTAGACGGAAAGCCATACGCTCACGCTTCAATTTAGCTTACCGCTTGCAATTCATTAAACACACAATACTGTGCAAATCAACAAGTGCCACAAAGATATCCAATTTCCAAAGTTAACAAGAACTTTCAGAAAGGTTACATACTTTTCATAAGTCTCACGGGCCATAGTCACAATCTTCTTCACATCAGCTTCTAGAATAGAAGACAAGCCTACATTGCCACCATTCTCTGATGTAATGTTTTTAGTTTGTTTGGATCCAAGCATCAATCTCGAGTAGAGATAAATATGCCTGAGGATGAAGTCCAGCTTCTTGTGAAAACCAACTGGGAGCCAATGCAGCCACTCATTTATCCCTCCTTTAGGCCTTGTAACTCGCTTCCACAATTGAAAAAAAACAGATAATCTCAGCTAACCAAAACTCATGGTGAATGCAAAACTTATGCGAATGTCGAACTTGAGATATTGGCAAAAATTTTATATAGCCATCAACTCGTTATTTCCGACGAAAATTTCAAATAATTCCTCTTCCTCTGAACATTCAGACTAGCAAGTTAGTCACCTGCTCCTACAGAACATCATTATTTCTTCTACAGTAACCCTATCTGCAAATACATGCTAAAGAAGTACTAAAATCCATGATTTTCCAGTCCTATATAAGCAATCATCAATCTCACTACCAAATCATGCGCCTATCATAAACTGATGTAAAATGGAAATTTATGGACTAGTATCGACGAGATAGTCGAAGAAATGCAGGAATTGCTTAAAACCGAAACTAAGAAAAAGCATGGATCAAACTCACGTAGAGTAGGTGATTTCCCGCCAAGCCGAGGGCACGAACGAGACCGATACACTGATTCTCGGAGCCAGGGAAACCGTTTCCAATGACGACGGCGCGTCTGACGACGTTCTGGGCACCGCCTTGTTCGAAAATCTCAGGTACGCCGGTAGATAGACTAGGTGGATCCGGCAACAGGATTGGCCTCATGCCGGTTTAATTTCTTTTCCGATCAAATCAAACCCTAAGAAGGAACCACACAGAGATTGGAGGATTGATCTCACCGTGAGAGAGAGAGAGGTCGTGCTTGACGAGTTGAGAAAAGGTCACAAAGAGATTGTTCTCCTTTTCTCCTTGAATAAGTGTGTAAATGCAAATTTGGCAAAAACAAGGGATAAATATGAGGTAAGCAGAAAATAGATGTCTCTATTTGCAAAACTTTTGCGTGTTGATCCTATGGGCTGTTTCAAAGGCCCATTAATTGGAATTCGATTCTCAAAACGTTGATCTTATGGGCCGTTCCGAAGCAGGCTTCTTCGATCTACTTTTTCCTCAAACGATAACTTTTTATCTTTTAAAATCGTGTTGGATTCTTCCAACCACTTCATATCTCTTCGAAATTTAATATCGAGATATTTGGCTCCACAACTCAATAACCAATAATGCAGGGCCGGTTCTAACATGGTGCAACTGGTGCATTTGCACCATGTTCAACTATTTTTTTCGATTTTTTACATGAATTTTATTGTATTTTTCTAAAATATAGGGGTTTTGCAAAAAATTTATTAAAGTTTCAGGTATTTTTACAATTTTTGCACTATGTTAGTTTTATAATTGGGCCGGAGACCTGCAATAATGCATGATTTTTTTTTTGTTTGTTTGGTGAAGTTATAATTGTGGGGTCATTGAAACATTTATTCAAGCTTATGATGTAGACTTTGTATATTAGAAAAAAAGCTAGAGATCTCAACACTCGAGATTCACGCTACGATAGGAATATGAAATTGTAGAAATGATAACTCACTATTAATATTATATCTCACCTGTGAACACGTTAGACGTTGAATTTAACTCAAAATATAAGTCACAATATAAACAAATTATGGAGAATTGAATAATTAACTCCTACAATAGCTGGGGTGCATTCGAAGAAGATATAGTAAGATAATAATCTCGTGGAACATTTTTTTTGC